GGGGGTGTTGAAACAAATGACAGATTTCAATATATAGGAGATAAAACCAATGGGTATGACGGTGATTGGAATTTGCGAGGTAAGGGAGGACAAGATGACTGTAATAATCCCTGAGTAGGTCTGCCACCTTTAGCACCTGCCAGTCATCTAACATGGAAAATAACCTCCTGCACATGGCCAGGCACTGGGTATCATTACAGAGTTGAATGTGATGCTCATATCGGATGCCTGATCACTATTATGTAACTTCTGGGTAAGGGAGCAAGACAGAACTGTAGCGTAGAAAAGTATCATAATTGAATGTTTTTCTAGGTGACATGGCTTTCTAAAAGCATTTTTTAAGTTAATTGTGCTGGAGTTTTAGAGTGATGTTTTTAGAGGGTATAAGTATTTGTTAAGCCTCCACTTGGGGCTTTCTGCAAACAGGTGGAACCTCTCCCTGAAGACATAACCACATAGTCACCAACCTGAGCCCATCCTCTGGGAGGATCTAGAGTGACTTGAGATCTCCCAGTGAGTTTTACTGAGAATGTGTCCTTTGTGCACGTCACAGTAAAATATAACTTCTCTAAGACTTATATGAGCATGCTTATTTTTACTAAGCCTTTCACATTGTGTTCTTCAGGGTCTCTATCATATGAGGAATGAATCCTAGACAGTAAGTGTGGCAGTGCCACTTACTGGGATAGCAAGCGCTGATAGCAAGCACTGTGCTTAAACTGGGGAAATGTTAAGTTTGGATGTCTGAGATGAAACACAATAATGAGGTATCGATAACAATACAAGTCTGGAGTTCTAAGGAATTGTCTGGAATGGTGATGCCAAGAATGACTTACACTACCTCCGGGGAGGGTCAAGCTTGATCAAGGAGCATCACATGTTAGAATTATTGTCTTACAGAACCATTTATCCAAGGAGAGCTTAACTAAAACCTCCTGACACTGAGCTTCTATGATTCATCAATAGATTGTCATAGAACCACTTGGGCATCTGATTAAAGTTGTCTGAGCATAGAATCAATGGGTTTAAAGAAACTAGTCTATCTCCGCTAGGTTGTAGAATGTATTAGAAACAGGAGTATCAGATATAATCCAAAGACAGGCCTGATGGGTTTCAAATTCGGTCTCAGAAGATTGTGTTTCTAGGAATTTATCCATTTTTTCCAGGTTGTCCAATTTGTTGGCATATAATTGCAGTGTTTTCTTATAATCCTTTGTATTTCTGTGGTGGTGTCACTTTTTCATTTCTGGTCTTGTTTATTTAGGCCTTCTCTCTTTTTTTTTTTTTTTTTCCTGATCAGTTGTATCTTTTTAAAGAACCAGCTCTTGGTTTCATTGATCTTTTCTATTGTTTTTTAGACTCTATTTCCTCTCTGACTTTTATGATTTCCTTTCTCCCACTCACTTTGGGCTTGCTTTGTTCTTTTTCTAGCTTCTTTAGGTATAACATTAGATTGAGATTTTTCTTATTTCTTCAGGGAGGCCCGTATTGCTATAAATTTTCCTCTTAGAAGAACTGTTTTGGCTGAGTCCCATAAAGTTAGGGTCATTGTGATTTCATTTGTCTCAAGATGTCTTTTGATTTCTTCCCTGATCTCATTGTTAATCTATTTAGTAGCATGATATTTAGCCTCCACGTATTTGGGTGTTTTTGAGTTTTCTTCTTATAATTGATTTCTAGTTTCATACCTTTTTGATCGGAGAAGATACTTGATATGATTTCAATCTTCTTAAATTCCTCAGCTTATTTTGTGGCCTAGCATGTAGTTTATCCTGGAAAATGTTCCAAGTGTACTTGAAAAGAATGTATGTTCTGCTTTGGGATGAAATGTCCTAAAAATGTCAATTAAGTCCATCTGGCCTAATGTGTCATTTAAGGCCACTGTTCCCTTGTTGATTTTCTTTCTAGATGATCTAATAATGTCAATGTGGTATTCAAGTCCCCTACTCTTACTGTTTCTCTCTGCCCTTATGCTCATCACTATTTGCTTTATATATTTAGGTCCCTTATCATTATGAAATGCCCTTTGTCTCTTGTTACAACCTCTGTTTTAATGTCTATTTCGTCTGATATAAGTATTGCTACCCCAGTTTGTTTGTTTTTTTTTTTTTCATTTACATGAAATACCTTTTTCCATCCCTTTACTTTCAGTCTGTGTGTGTCTTTCAGTCTGAAGTGGGTCTCTTAAAGACATCCTATGTACGGGTCTTGTTTTTTAATCCATTCAGCCACCCTCACGTCTTGTGATTGGAGCATTTAAAATAGTTATTGATAGATGCATATTCTCTTGCATGTTGATGACTTTCATTGCATGTAGTGCTGGGTTTGGATTCCTTTCTCTAGTTCTTGTATATCTCTTATAGATTTCTGTTTTGTGATTACCACGTGCCTCATCTACACCAAGCTGTGTTTATAGCAGTCTATTTTAAATTGATGGTCACATGTGCCTACTTAGCTGAAGCTGTGATCCAAGTCTGACTGCTGCTTATGCTAGGCTTGGGGCCACTTAGCAAGAGGTACAGGGCACGCCGAGGCAGGTTGCTTCTTGTTGGGGGTTTGTGGCTCTTTGAGAGATTTTTAGGAAATTCTGCAATGCGAGCTGAAGCAGGCCACTTGTGTAGAGGAATCTCTGGGAACCCATTGTGGGGCTGGGACCCTCTCACTGCTTAAGGGGTGCCTCCATAGCTGAGATATCTTGATTCTTAACAGCCACTGTACGGGCGTGGGACCTGCTGGGTCTCCGCTCAGCCAGTCCTCAAGGGTGGTTCCATTATTAGAAATTGGGTCTTCGTCTGGAAGGCAGTTATCCCTTTCTCTGTAGATAAGTGCTCCCTGCTTTTGTTTGGTCCTAGTCAGAGTGGTAAACAGAAACTGGCTAGTCTCAAAATCAACTCCAAACATCTCAGTGCAGTTAGGCCTCACACAGCCTACTGTGGAGGTCGTTGGAGCAGAATCTCTGAGGAAGGACATAGGCAGGCCTGCCCAACTGACTAACATGTCTGTAACACCATGCGATTTTCTTCCAATCTTAGGAGAGAAAAGAAGAGCTGTCTGCTTTACAATCAACTCAATTTTCTTGATGGTTATTAATCCATACATCCATATTTCTCCTTGGTTAATTATTAATTTTATGCTTTCTATTTTCTGGCATCTAAGGAACTCTAGGACTGGCTCTTTGAGGCTTTTTCAGAATTCAGTCATCTCCCAAGAAGTTTATACTTCTCAACCATATTTACGTCACCGATCTTATTTTGTATCTAAGTATTGTCTTCATGTAATCCATCTTGAAGATGGCTACGCTTAACAATTTTAGATATATTGGCATCTTTAATTCTTTTTCAGAGACCTTGCTTCCTATCACAATAGCCCCACCCACTGTCCATCTTTCCTGAGCATGCCACAAGCACCTCAGCATTTCTAAAACCAGCCCGTCAGCACCACTTCCATCTGTGCCTGCTGGCAAGCTTAGTAAATGGCAACAGCAAGACATTTCCCGAATCTGGATGTCACTTCCCTTTCCATTAGCCCCCTAACCTGCCTGACTGCATTCTGTCTTGCCTGCCCTGCAGAGTTTTCTCTTTCCTGAAGCCAGATGGTCTCTCTAAACAGTCCTACCAGGTCACTGTTTCACATCCTTCAGAGGACAGAGTCCACAGCACCTTTTTAGGCCAACAAGGTCCTGATGGCCTGTCCTCACCTCCACCCTCTTTATGTATAACAAACACCTTAGCTCACCCTGCTAAGTCTCCTTCCCATCACCGGTTACTTTCTTCCTGGGAGACTTTCCTAAGCTCCCCCTCTAAGTGAATTAACCTACCACCCCAGAGCCTCTGCCTTATTGTCCTTCTCTTATAATAAGTGCTTTCTGCTATGTTTCAGTTGTCAGTTTACAGGTTTGTCTGCTCTGGCAGAGGCAGTACAGTGAATACTCATTTCAGAACCAGACTGCTTGGGTTCAAATTCCACTTTCGCTGTGACCTAGCTATGTGAATGTGGGCAATTACTCTAACCTTCCTCTGTGCCTCAATTTCCTCATATGCAAAACAGGGACAGTAATTAAATCTTACACAGTACCTTATTAGATTCTCGGTACTAACCACTATGGCTAGTACCCAGCCAAGCCTGACTAGCTGAAGAGACAGTGTTCAGTAGTTGATCCATCCAGGTAAAGGCAGATGTGACAATACAGATAAACCAATATATCATCTTCTGGTCAATTCTTTAAGACATAAAGAACTCAAGAAACTCAAGTTCTTAGAGTGATTCAAAATGTTAGTAAATTTTCAGCAGAAGTTGACAAAAGGATGTCAGAATATTGGTCTTTCTAGGTAGACACTAGAAACCGAATTCTTAAGCACACTGGAAAGAATACAAACTGTGATGTTAAATTTAGATTTGAATCCTAACTCAGCTGCTTACCTGTGTGTTCCTTAATGTAAATCCATTTTTTCTCTGTTTCTTCATATATAAAATGACAATAATACAATATAAGTCATGAACTAAAGATTATATGTATAAATTACCTACCACAGTGGCAAACAGGGAAGGTAAGCAATGCATTTCCCTTGACAAATCACCTTCCATTATTTACAGAAGTTTCTTGTTGATGTAAAATCTAAAAGGTAGGTTGAGGAGATAAGAATAGGAAAAAGTTTGTATCTTATGAATATTAAATTGCTTGACTCCATCTATGATAAAATAGTTAACGTCTCTGAACTATCAAAACATGCCAGGCACTAAGTGTCTTATATTCAATATCGCATGTAATCTTCCCAAAGTCCCATGAGGCCAGTACTAGCAGTATGGTCATCTAGCGGTGAGTAAACCAAAGCCCACGAAGTTTTTAGAAGATAAACAAGGAAGACTACTTCATGGCAGAACTCAGAGCCTCTTCTGAAACCCATGGGGATATGATAGCATAGAATGTGGAAGGACGTGGTCTCAACACCAAGGTCAAGTTTTCCTGTGATAGCTGTTAGCCAATAGATTGCCCTCCAGTTGTCTAAGAGCATTATTTTTTAACTATATCCTGCACAATGGCTATTTGACTTTTTCCCCAGTTACTCCAGGATTCAACCACATTAATAAACCTGCTCCCAAGTCAGCTGGCTCGCAGAAACATCCCTTTTGCACCATAACTGTTGGAAATTGCCTGATGATTAATGCTGTCTAACCTAGAAAACTATATTGCAATGAGGTTCAGGATTTATCGATAAATGTGATGATAATCTTCTATCTTTGTTTATATCGATAATTAATGTAGCTCAGGAGGGAGTCCTTGAAACCCTGTATAAGCAAGCTTTATTCCCACTGGAATAGATTACAGCCATATGTCACCATTCAAAAGGTAATTGGTACATTCATTAGAAAGTAATTGAAAAAAAGATTTATTTTAATGCCTTATAATAAACAAACATTATTGTTAGCAGCGATATCTCCATCGTGTAAAGAATTTGCTTTACATCAAAATATACTATATACTATATTTCATTCTTGGATTTTTCTGAGACTTTTTACTTACCTTGTTATGACTGAGTAAAGAATAGCATATTATCATACTATGATTGTTCCTTTGTAAACAAGATCTTGCCCTCACGGCCACATGCCTTTACTGTTCCCATGATTTTCCTTGCAACAGGACCTAGGTTAATCTATATCCTGCAAATGAAAATCTCCCACGTATGTGAACAGAAATGTTTCTAACAGTGGGTTGGAGTAAAGGCCTTTGAGACTGAGCTGCAAGGTCTGTCTCTGTCTTCCTATTCTGACTTTTTAAGGAGACATCCTGAGTTCTAGGGTGAGCTTTTATTTAAATGGCATTATAAAAGCATTTTTTCCTCTATTTGTTATGTGATAAAAGTAACACATGAACAGAGAAATGAGCAGTAGTCTCAACACCAGACATAGGCATGACTAAAAAGGACCACCCACCCTCACCCCACTGAAGGATCTGAAGTAAAAACAGATCAACAGTTATTTTCAGAGTTTTGCAACTTTGTGATCTGCTTTAGCGAGTAAAACCATTCTACTTAGCTCTTCAACAAACCGAGATGAAGAGCAAAAAATCCCTAAAGGCCATCTGCGGATTGAAATGAAATCATGCTTTTAACAGGTAACCAACAATCAAAACGAGAGCAGAAGAGAATTTTTTTTTCTAACATCTCGAACTAGCCATGTTTAAGAGCCTTCCTCCTCCTACTTGAATTAGGATAGAGTAGTCTAAACCTGTACTAAGCACTCACTATATAAACATAGCTGTATAAGGTGACTGTTGGAATCTTCATTTTTATAGATAAGTTAAGCATCTAAGCTCACACAGCTACTAAGTGGAATGTCAGACCCCAGATTCAGTGTTTACTTACTCTGCTTCATTGCACAGCTGCTTCTCGAACTAGGATACTCGAACTGGGATACATAAAACTGTAGAACTTGACACGTCTTCCTCAAGAATGTTTTGCTTAAATGTAGAAATCAAATAATTTAGCCAATGATAAATTAAAACATGATTTTTCCATTAAATAGGGATATTTTATGCCATTGAACACAAAATTGTATAAGCTGAATACAGTAAACTCTGGCTGTTTAGTGGGTCCTGTGCCCATAGGAACATAGTCTGTGATAGATGATAACTCAATGAAAGGTTTTAAGAAGGCTACTTTGAAGCCAGACAGTCCTGGTCAAACAGCATCCCACCTCTGTGAGTCAAGTGACTGGGTGGCCTTGGGCAAATCACTGCACCTTAGTGAACCTCACCTGTTCAATAGGGATTCTACCTGGTACTGTGGTGGATGCCCTGGGCCATGTGAACGTCCAAAGCATGTACAGGCTCAGCCCCTCGTGATCATTATTATTATTAAGCATTCACAAATCAGGGACCTCTGTCCACGGTGCTTTCCAATGCTACTCTGGGCTTCCTATAGTTAGCCTTTTAACTAAGAGAGGATCCTGGAATGGGTTGTCAATAACCAAATTAATTATTTCATGGCTGGACCAAAAATGGAAATTTTAAATGATATATTCACATCCGAAATGTCCTTCAACACAAATAAGGTACTTCCTAAGTTTTACTTGATTGTCATTTACTTTTCCCCTAGAGTCCTAAAACTTAGTTCTGTTATTCTAACATTTGCTCATTCTCAGTAAATAGAAGCAGTTTCAGGATAGCTCTTAAAAATGTGGGCTCTGGTGATAGAGCTGTGGTTGAAACAGCTACTCCCTCCTCGCTGTGTGACCTTTGGCATAACTTCCCCAGCCTCACTTTCCCTGTGTGTAAAACAGGGGTGAATAACAATATTAACAGTATAATGACTTCATTCTAGAATCGTTTTACTAGTACAGAGCCTAATACGTGGTGAGTATAATTTTTTATTAAATGGCTTTTACAAAATTAAACGAATAAAGTATAATTATTCGCATGTGAGATATTAATTTCTGCTTTTCAGCCTTCTTAGAGCTATGTAGCTCACTGGTTTTGGTCCCCACAGACAAGGATTCTTATACAACATATACACAAACAGATGCAGAGTATTCTTTAAGATGTCTACTGAGTATTAGCATTGAAGCTAAAGCGAGATCGTTGTGATCTCTTGCATTATGATCATATGGCAGTCAACACACTCACTTGCTGTTATTCTGCCAAAATCTGTAACAAAGTGGACTTTAGGGCTGGTAGAGGAACTATTTCAACTGCTACTCCAGCCCTCTCATTGCATAAAGGAGAGTGGGTCGCCATGACAACTTAGTGGCAAACCTGGTACTAAGAATCCACTCCTAGTCCAGTGCTCCCTCTACAATAACACAATGTCCCATGGGGCTGAATTGACTTCCAATCCAGATTGAAGCTAGTGATTTCATGTAAAGGAAAAATCTAAATAATGTTTGTGAATTTAATTTTTATTCTTTGTTAAAATAATTGACAGCCTATACATTTCATCATCCACAAAGAGGCACACATAGAGTCAGGTTAGTTGCATGGATCATTAAACATTCAGAGAGCGTCAGATCTTATTGAGAAGACTTGAGAGTTATTACTCTCATTAATGAGAGCTGGGAGTGTGGAAATGTACATAATTTCTTTGATATTTAAATCAATTATTTAGTTCCTTTCTCATTTGAGAAGACTCTCCCAGCGTAAAGAATGTAATGGTTCGGAGATGGTAGGGTCCAGGAAGGACCAGAGAAGCTTCTCCAGAAACTGCAGTTATCACGTCTGTAGTTTCTTAAGCAGTCACCTTGGAAACCTCAGTTCTGAGAAACATGATTTGCTACAAGATTTAAGCTTCTAATCATTGTTCGGCAGCCCATGTTAGACTACGAAGGCACTATATTTATGATCAGTTTTTACTTCTGGCAAAAGTAATTGACAAATTCTACAGAGAATCTGTCAAGATTTTCCCCTCTCAAAGTCATCGACATTTTAGTAAATTTCATAACAGTCAAAAACTGTGTGAAGAAAAAATGGACTTCTTTGGCCTCTAGCCTTTGATTTTTTTGTATTAGAATTACTGTTGGCAGTCAAGCTTTTAGTCAAGTCTGTAACGTGGCCACTAGGTAAACCAGGCTGCCTCTTGTGGATGATGAAATGTTAAGGAAGCCAGAGGGGAATAGATGTGACAGAATTTTTATCTGAATGAATATGGTAATAAAAGCTGTCACTTACCAGCACATCCTGTGTACTCGACCGAGGCTTCACCTGCATTTCCAGTCCTGTAAGGGAGATACTGTTATCCCTAGTGAAGATGAGAAACAGCTGAGCCTCAAAAAGGGTGAGCCATTTTTCCCAAGGCAAACATCCAGCAGATGGAAGTGCTTGGACTCAGAATCCTGACTCTGAGGCTTTAAACCGCCATTCCATATTCCCTCCCAAGAAATTTAGATTACAAATTTTAGGAGGGGGAAACTACGGCTCTAGCAGCACAAACATAGAATGAGACAGTTACTAGCAAAATAGGGCACAAACTAAGGGATTTATTTATTTTGGTCTAAACTCGTATGAGAGAATGCTAACATGGCTGCCAATTCTAATGTAATTAGATTACAATAATAAATTATCCAGACTCATACCAATAAGGTGAGAGGAGGAGAGGAAAGGGGATTTTTCAGTCCTGGACCTTACTCAGAACATGACAGGAGCACTATCTTCAATGCTGTGTAGCAGAATCTAAGAAGGACATTGCTCCAACACATTTACTGAATACCAGACAACATTCTCGATGCTGGGCATAAATCTAGTGGAGTGACTTCTCTTACAGAGTTTATTCTAGAAGAAGAAAGATTAAAACAAGTAAACAAATCATTACAAATTGTGGTCAATGGCATGAAGGAGTGTCACTGGGTGAGAGAAGGGATGGTCAGGGGAAGGCCTCTCTAAAGTGGTGACATTTAAATGAGACTTGAAGCATGACAAGAGAACAGACATAGTAAGAAGAAGGTTAGCGGATGGGCCAGGTAGACCTACCATTTGTTACAGGCAGGGTGACCAGGAGGGGCTCTCACGTCCACTCACTGAAGGATTTGCTGAAGGAAACCTCAGGATAACCAAATTGCTTGTTAAAAGCAAATGCTCGTCTTTAAAATTTGGGTCACAAACCTATGGGAACTCCAGATGACATAGCAGGTTACAGGATGAGGTTTCCACTCAATATGTGTACTACTTTTCAATACTCAGAACCATGCAATATTATAAAACATATTAGCTAGGATTCAGGAGGCCTGGGTTTGCCCTACGACTCTCTAGGCATGTGGTCTAGACCATGACATTTAACCTCCCAGGCTCCACTGCCTCTTCTCACGAGTAGGGCTGGCAGTAAATACCAGATGGGTGTGAAAAGTACCCACCGTGCAGGGCATAGAATATAAATTTACTGATATGTGCACCTCAAATCTGTCCCTGGACTTGACACTAGGCTTCCGTTTGAGGCCTCTGAGATTCCTATGAATCAGACTTTATGAATGCCTAATTCAGAAATACAGTATGAGTCCCAAAGGTCAGAGGGAGCATTATGAATTTTTTGAGCTGAAAACTAAATGGACCACAGTATTTAACACAATGGTAGCCAGCACCATGTTCTGAAAGTTGTCTAGCATCAAAATCTCACCATTACTTTAGGTGGCCCATTTACGCTGAAACAAAGCAGTTTTTCCAGAATGGTTGTTGCTGCATTAGCGGTTATCCAACAGCACGACCAAATTATGGTACTTTTCTTGAAATGGGAATTCAACTTTGAGCTCTTGAAGATTCAATGAGAGCTAATGAACTTTCAGATCAATGAAGAAATTATTTGAGAAATATGTACCCTCCAAGTAAAGAGTCCTACCGGTACACTAAAATTTTATAAACACAGGATCATCAGATCAGCAACTTAAAAATGCAAGTGACCCAGGTATGCAATGGACCCACAGAGTAGGCACTGCAGGTCTTCATTTTGTCAAGTACATAACTTAGCTCCTGAGGTTATAACCTGGGCTATTTTTCTCCCAGAAGCAATATCATAACCATTCTATTCCCATCAGCCAGATGGTAGGGATCCATGTTAAAGATGGTATATCTGTGACACATACAGAGATCTGCTAAGTCAAAGTCAGTGATTTGTAATCATCGCCAAATGAATTGTTTAAAATTCATATGCCCTGGAATTCTGATTTAATTTGTATGAGATGTGGCCCAAGTTTTGAAAGCTCCCATGTGATTCTGATTGAATTGAAATATCCCAACCATGGGCTTCAGCCAATCCAAGAACTCCCTTCGATCGACCCAAGCACCACCAACCTTACAAACCCTCCCAGTGCTTTTTTCTAAATCATTTCCCTTTCAATTATAATTCATTTTTTTTTTCCTCAAGCACAGAACTCAGAGTAACCTAGGTGTTGGTGTTAGTGTGAATCTGCTCTTTCCTAGGAAAGACTGAGGTGCTAACCCTCTGCTGTTTCAGTTCCCCATGTATTGCTCAGTTTTTATGATGTTTTGAAGGTCGCTTCCCAAAGTAATGAAAGCCATTGTCTCTATTCTCTGAAGATGGGAGCAAAATATCATCTAAAAGCTTGTCCAGGCTTAGAAGTGATTAATGTAGATTCTGATGATGAAGGAAATGAAAACGAGAAATCTAGATAAGTAATCACTGTTTCAACAAAAAACAATTTCAACAAAAAATGAGCTTGAAACAGAGAGAACAAACTGATAATGCCAACAGCAAATAAATTATTCTCTGAGTTTTAAAAACAGACCTTGTGATAGCATTTTAAGTTTTGTGGGGGTTTTTTGTTTTTGATTCATGACACTTCTGAGTATAACTGAGGAGGAAAGGGACCCTGTTGTGATGCCATATTTCACAGGTACTTGACATGGAATTTAAGCAAAGAAGGAGAGGTTTGAAGTGAATGCAGAAATGTGCCAGGAAGTGATGGTTCCATAAACAGCTGCTCAGGGCTTCCTACACCTAAGAGACATGACCAAGTTCCTCCTTGTCATAGTCCTTCAGCCACACAGGAGCTGCAAAACCAGCTCAGAGAACAACAAACAGAGTCTGGGCTCTTTAGGACTCTGGTCAGGATTTTGCTTTGTTTCTGCCTATAGAATGAGAGCACCTCAGAGGAAACATTCACCCTGGTAGGATGCCACCTATATAGTCACTCGGCTGAGACCACCAGTTCCCAGAGCGCACCTTCCCAGTCTCACCAGGCCAAACGAGGGATTCCAATTATGTTTTCATTGAGGCTGCATATACATACTACAATTAACTCAGCAATATGGGAATATGCTGCCAACCACGATCGAACATACCTCCCTCTTTTCTGTCTCTAGCCCTGCATAGCCACATTTCCCCTTGACATTTCAAACACCTCCAATTCAACATATCTAAAACTCAACTCAGTTTTCTTTGCTTACACTCTTCCTATTTTAGTGGCTGACCCACAGACTCTACCATTATAAAACCCACAACACTGGAAATCATTTTTGATTCATTCCATCACCAAATCCAAGTCACGCTCTTCTCCTCGCAATCTTCTCGTCCTTTCTTATCCTCTCTCTACTCAGTAGCCAGATACATATATAATTTTATGCACACATATGTGTGTGTGTATATATACACATACATATATATACATGCAAACATACACATGTATGTTGGTTCTATGTATCTAGAGAACTCTGACTAATGTAGTATATATAGATTGAGATTTATCATAAGGAATTGGTTCACCTGATTATGAAGGCTGAGAAGTCCTAAGATCGGCAGTCAGCAAGCTGATGGTATAAGTCGAAGTCTGAGGGCAGAAGACCAATGTCCCTGCTCAGGTAGTCAGGGAAGGCAAAGGTCTGTTACTCAGCCTTTCATTCTATTTGGGCTTTGATTGACTAGATGAGGCCACCCATATTAGGGAGGATAATCTGCTTTACTGGGCCCACTAATTCCAATGTTAATCTCATTCAGAAACACCTTCATAGACACACACCAGAGTCATGTCTGACCAAATGTTTGGGCACCCTGTGGCTCGGTCAAGTTGACACATAAAATTAATCATCACAATCACAGTAATCGTTCAAACGCGGACATCGGATCATGTTGTCTGTTATCTTTTTATGCCCTTATACCCCCCACTCCATTTAAAATCCTTTATTGTCTCGCCATATTCTGCAAGGCCATGCCTAACCCCTCTCTTACCTCTTCTTATTAATATCACATTCTCTAGCAACCTTCTTTCCATTTTTTTTAAGCTACAAAACTATTTTTTCCCTAAAGGTGTCCATGCATGCTACTCCATATGTTTGGCCCACTCCTTCTCATTCTTCAGATGTCAACATAAGCCTTTCCAGACCCCAACTCTTCCTACAAGCCAGTCCTCAGTTATATAAATTCTTATAATCCTCTGTACTTCAACAAGGATTCCTCACCACCATAAACAAATAGTTGCTTAAAGTATCTCATCCTCAATGGCACCTAAACTCACTAAGGCAGAGATTAGGTCTATATTGTTTACAACTATCACCCCAGCATTTTGCGAATAAGAATTCAATAAATGTTATCCAAATAAATGAGCCACTTCCTAATGACTCTGCCAGTCTGGGACACAGGCCATTTCTCTGTCCCCTTAGGTCTAGTATAATAAATGTTTATTAAATAAACTAACAAGCTCTACACTGGGGGAAAAAAGGGTTGATTCAAAAGAGTGTTTTGTGATGATATGGCTTACCTTTCATAAAAGCAAATTTCAAAATGGCTTTGCTCTAAAGGACAGAATATCATTGCTTTTCTGAAAGAAAAGGCCTTCAAATGACAGTATCCAACCCATTTCTTCAATCATTAGAGATGAACCCTAGAATACTCTGCTTAGGTTTTCTACTCAGGATTTAAAGACAGATCTCTAAACACACAGCTTCATACATAAAATTTAAATAGCTACTGCATACGTGAGAAGGGTGAATTTCAAAGGAACCCTGGCTTGACTTAAAAGTAGATCCTATATAATTAGAAAAGCCCAAGTTTCTTCTCACCTTTGGTAGGTGCTTATTTTATTTCAACCAGTTTCTATATCGGAAGTTGAAATTGATTCCACTGAGTACAGTGTGTTTAAGCCAAAGCAGCCATTTAAAACAGGATGACATAATGGTATGGATTTGTATTGTTCCAACTAAGCCAAGCCAGTACCACATTTTCAGGAAATCCCTTCTCTGAGCTAGGGGGGCTGCATGAGGTTTGGAAGGTGGGGGCAAAACCACAGCCACATTTTTTTTTTTACACTGGAAGGTGGTGCAGGGTACCAGGCTCTGTTGGAGATCACCTGCCAGCTCACCTTGTTGGTGTGGGGCAGCCCCATTCTTTAGATCCTCCAGCTGTCAATGGATCCTCCTTCAGCTTCTCCAACTCCTGGGTCTTAGCATTCTTAGTTTCGTAAAGAAGGGCAGCGGGTTTTCGTCCACTCAATCAGAGACCTAGATGGGCTAAGAGACTGTCTCAGGTTCTGGTTCATCCTGCTGAGTTCCGGACTTATCCTCACTCCCTCAATCAGAGACCTAGAAGTGTTAAGAGACTGTCTCAGGTTCATCCTGCTGAGTTCCGGACTTATCCTCACTCTCCCCACTTCATATCCATTTACCCTGCCTGCCTGCCTATCCTGATGACTTCTGGTGCCAGCATCACACACAATGACAACAGCCTTATGTAGACTGTTTACCCAGCTCCCACACTGCATAAGGTTAAATTTTTATCATGTACCCATATACACCTCACTCAAAGAGGCTCTCTTTCTCTAATTGAACCCCGACAGATAAACTTCTAGAGAGTTTTCTAGCTAACTGGCCACTGTTAAGCCAGATCTGACTCTCAGAAAGTTGGCATATCTATGGTTTAAATAATAATAAATGATAATAAGTTGCCAACCTTTAAAGATGAGGTGATTTCATGATAAGATATGTGGACCTCTAGTACAGCAGCATGATAGTCTAAGTACCCTGACCAGTTGTTTTAGTTGAAAACAAAACTATTGGGTAAAAATATTTTTAAAACATTTTAAATGCATTGATGAACTAGAAATTATTTAGGATTAATCAGAGTCCAAAACTAAAACAGCATGTGAACCCAGAGAAGTAATCTGAAAATTGAGCCAAGCTGTAACTTTACAGATCTTGCTAAACTATATGAAATTCTGCTTCAGTTTTCAGCCTCATGGGTCCTGGGAACAAAGTAAATGTCAGGGTCCCCCTGAAGCAGGAAGTCTAATTAAGAGCTCCCACAGTGAAATTGGGACCCCAATGTACCAAATCCTCAGTGTAAGGATGAAATAGAATTCAATCAACCTAGTCTTCCCCATCTCTGACCCTTTTACCCAGAGGACTACAAAGGAAATGTCTCTAACCTCAGCACTGAATGGAAGAGAAAAACATTTCTCCAAAGGCTTGATAACTCCGAAATGACCCTCACCCTCATTTGTAGCTTGAATTCATATGACCTGGGTGGTCCTACTACCTCAAGCAGAGAAATTAGTTTACAGTTTAAGCCGAAAGTGGTACCAGTAACTGATGGAAACAAATGCAAATCCTCTAATCACCTTAAATGCCAGTCTCAAATAATTTTCACAGATAAAGACCCAAGAAATATGAATCCATACTCGAGTAGTACAAATCACTCTCAGAAACAAGACACCATGAGCTTAGAGAGAAGGAAGGGAAACAAGGCAGCCAGTTTAGACCCATGGACGCTTCAGACCATATAAATCAAGAATTCAATACCATATAAAATCAAGAATTAGCAGAGAAATGTATAAAATAAATGTTTACTAGGAGTAAAGAAACCAAAGAATGAATTGAAAGAGTAAAAACTAAAAAATATACAAAATAACAGATTAGAAAATGAGCTGAACAGAATTTCTGGAAACGAAAATATCTCAAAAAGTAAAACTCCAATGGATGTGATAAGACATAGATAACAAGAAAAATAAGTAAACATGAAAATATATCTGAAGAATCATCCAGACAGCAGGGAAGCAGAATAATAGGAATGCTAGAGTGAGAATGTCTAATCCAAGTTTCATTCAGAATGAGGAGAAAGAATGAAGCCAAAACGATTTTCAAAGACATATCAGCTGAGTATTGCTCAGAAATGATGAAAGACACAAAACTACAAATTTAGTGTCAAAAAAAAATTTTAAGTAAAGTAAGTAAAATGAAATCCACATCCAGGCATATCAGAATGACACTGCAAAACATCACAGATAAAAAGCAGGAGACAAAAGAGCCAAACAGAAGTTCTAAAATTGAAGTTAGACTGACAGCTGACTTCTTAACCACAACAGTGAGAACCAGAATATAGAGAAACATGTTCGATTCCTGAGAGACAATAACTATCAGCAAGCTTGTGCATCCAGCCCAAATCCTTCACACAAGGGCAAATTAAAGACATTTCAGAAAAACGAAACTGAGGATTTGCCCTGCAACCCTCACTAAAAGAAAATATCAAGGATTTTCTCGATGTTAAAAAAAAAGGGAGAAACTTAAAATAAGAGAAGAATAAGTGAAAAATACATGGATATGTAAATTAGCATTAATTATGAAAACAGTAATGTTGCTGGATTAAAGAACACAAACCAAAATACATAACAATACCATGTAAATCAGGAATAGTGGATTTGGACTGTTACACTTTTTTTAAAAAATTCCATTAAAGACTCAATATTGTTAACTCTTCCCAAAATTGATCTATAGGTTCAACTCAATTCCAATCAAAATCCCAGAGGCTTTTAAATAGATATGGGAAAGGAAAGAATTTAGAACAAATTCAATGTTTTCTTTCTGCAAAAGTTGAAAGATACGAGATCTATATATAGATGTGAGTCCATCTATCTACCTGACTACCTGTCTGTCTAAAAATGAATTTTACCCAGAAGGTATAGCAAATCAATAACAAAAACACAAACAACCAAACTGCAAAAATATCGGGCCTAAGATTTAAACCTCTCTTCCAAAAGAATATCTTTAAATACCCAGATGAAAATCCACTCAGTAGCATTAGTCATCGGAGAACGGAAAACCATAATAAAGTACCATTTTTTAGCCGCTAGAATAGCTTTAATTACACCGATATTGGTGGTAGGACTGTACCATTGTGCAACTATCTTGGAAAACGGTTTGGCAGTTTCTTATTGTATTAATCTGTGGCTATATCACATATTACCCTAAAATTTAGCAGCTTAAAACAACAGTTATTATCTCACAGTTTCTATAGGTCAGAAGTCTGGGTGCAATTTAGTGATGCCTCTGACTCAAGATCAGTTATAAAACTGCAGTTAAGCTGTTGGCCAGGGCTGTGATCTCTTCAAATGCTTGATTTGTGGAGGACCCATTTCTAAATGCACAAATCTTATTGACAAGATTCAGTTCCCTATAGACAGATTGAGGATCTTAGTTCTTTATGGGCTAATGGGCTCCCTCAGTTTTTAGATATCTACATAGGACAGCTCTTAACATAGCAGCTGGCTCCCCTCAGAGTAAGGCAATGGGAGCACAAACCCAAGATGGAAGCCATTGTCTTTTTATAACCTAATCTCCTAAGTGGCATCCCATCATGACTTTTACCATCTTCTACTCGTGTAGAGAAGCAAGTCACTACATCCACCCACATGGAAGAGAGAGAATTACATAAGGGCATGAATTCCAGGAGCCAAGGATCACTGGGGACCATCTTAAATGCTGCAGTACCACGCTTTTTAAAAACACACCTACTCTGTAACAGTAATTTTCTTCATGGCTACTTATTTAAGAGAAATGAAAAAGATTGTTGTCAAAAAGACTTCTGGAAGAATGTTCATAGTACTTTGTAAAAAATGGCCCCAAACTGAAAACAACCAAATATCTAACAGGAGATTAGATGAAGGGTACAAATTTCAGTTATAAAATAAAAGAGTCCTGGAGAGCTAATGTACAGCATGGTGACTATAGTTAATAATGATATATTGTATACTTGAAATTTGCTAAGAGAATAGATCTTAAGTGTTCTTACTGGGGAAGGAGAGGGGGTGGTAAATATGTGAGGTGATAGATTGGATAATTAGCTTAAATGGGGGAGTTATTTCACAATGTATACATATATCAAAACATCATGTTGTACACTTTAAATATATACAATGTGTATTTGTCAGTAAAATAAAAATATCTGCATTTCACTGTATGTAAAGTTTCCTTCAATAAAAAGGCATCTGAAAAAAAAATAAATAATCCAGTTACATGAGACAAACACCTAAAACACAACCATAAAGAATGGTTGATTTTTAAAAGTATGGGAAAATGTCTCCAGAGAAAATGCTGACAGAAACAGAGAACTAAGAGGCAAAATGGATTTTAAGGCAAAAAAACATTATAAGAAATAAAGACCACTATACTTAGATAAGGAAGATAGAATAACTCTAAGGTGATATTTATTTAAAACACACCTCTAATAACATATATCTTTTAGTAACTGATAGATCAAATATGTGTGTATTTGAACAGAAGAATTAAATATCTTAAGTTAATAGGCATCTATGGAACATAGTACCAATTGCAGAACACACATTCTTTTCAAACGAGCATATTTATAAAAATTGACACATACTGGGCCAAAAACCTAGTCTCGATTTGTAAAGAATTGATTTTATATAGAAACCATTATCATATAAGATTATCAGTTCAAAATCAGTGTTCGAAAATTTAAAACCAATGAAGAAAATATGTCCTAGAAAATCTTACATATTTAGAATTTAAGGAAAACCATTCTATAAAACTCATAGACCACAGGAGAACTCAAACTAAAATTACAAAGTATTTACATCTATATTATAAATACACCTTTGGGAGTCTGCCAGAGAAAAATGCATAACTTTAAATATGTATGTTAAAAATTAAGAAAGACAAAAATTAACTAAGAAGGCAACACATTGTAGAACTTCAAAACAACTGTACAATTTTTCTAATTTATATGGAACAAAAAGACAAGGAAAAATTGAAGAACTAGAAATATACATAAAACTTTTGACAAAGCCAAAAGTTAGCACTTTGAAAAGACTAATAATTGGTAGTAGTGCTCCAGAGGAATAAAAGAAATAAAAATATTTGGAATGTAAAAAAAAAAAAAGACATAACTACAAATGCAGGCAACATTTAACATGAAGATATTAAGAAGAGTTTCCCAACAAATTCAAACCTTTATATGAAATGGAAAGATATCAAGAGAAAAGGTAACCAAAACAAACCTGGAAGCACAAAACCTACATAATCCTAAAATTGTTTTTTAAAATGGAAATAAGATTTTTTTTCCATGAACAGATTTATCAATGAGTTTAAACATACAAAGGACGAATTCTAGAATACAGGAAAGAAAGAAAACCTGACAAAGATATTGTTAAGAAAGAGAAATTATAGGATAAACTCACTTATGAACACAGGTGCAAAATCCTTTAAAA